TTGATCTTATATTGTTCTATATATCAGTGTGATTTATATCATTATAGTGGACATACTAATCGGGATAAAGACTAAATTTTAAGCCCAATATCCATTTCGGACTTAATGTTAATTACTGTAATAATCTACATGTTGCTCAGGGTATTAAATATGCATACCGTATGGACTAGATATCGAGATCTTTACTGTTAAGACCATAGATTATCTAGCTTGAACAAAGATTGCCACATAATAATGTTTTAGTTTATTATTTAACTGATTTATCTGGATATTATTTTGTTTGAAAAGTTAGGTTATGTAATTGTTCAACTATGTTGATTTAACATGTAATTATACAAACAATAAAATGAGTATTAAGGCAATTTAATTTTTTCTATTGAGAATTACATCGTTGTAACCGGTAATATTAGATTGATCATGATCATTTGCGGTTAAAGCAACAAGATATTTCAATTAACTAGTAGTGAATTCATGCGAAACCAGTGATTGACTTAGAAATTAATACAAAACAAGTGCTTTTGAATGACATCAACGCCTATTATATACCCGTATATTGTATTTCATGTAACAATACTAATGAAAAATTAATGACCAAAACATGCTCTCTCTCTCTCTCTCTTTCACATAAGAAATGAAACGAAAAATTTTACACAAAATTTAAAGGAAATTTCAAATACAAAAATCTTAAACACAAAACACAGTGTACTGTAAGACCTGTTATATTCAGTACACTATACAACACATACACACACTGTATATACAGTACACTATGTAAAAAACGGGAACATTGGATAAGGTTGATCAGTCATGTCTAGTGCCTTCATGCAAAAAAATCAACACTTCATGTGTTAGCACAGGTATGTTATGTGTGTACTGTACAGGTATTTAAGGCATACCTGTATATAAAGTATAAGTGTATAAATAATATTAGTATTGAATTACAATTGCAATAAAATAATGTTATATCAATCGTTATAATGATAATGTGTTTTGAATGAAAGTTATATAATAATAATAATCCTATCATTTGTTTATAAATGACAGACGAGAGAGAGAGAGAGAGAGAGAGAGAGAGAGAGAGACTGTGAAATAAGTGGTAAATTTTTGACACAAAATTTTGCGAAAAAAAAGTGAAACCCATTGTATTATTGAAAGGTTTGACCCAAAATTATATGCACTTTAAACCCCATTATAACTCTATGAAAGCGAATGTTATGCAACATAACATACCATTGATTTCCAATATATATACCTTAATAAATGTATATTATATTATTTTTTAAACATATTCATTATCTGGTTGTCACTGACATGTCATGTGTCTGCACAGGAGGTGGAAGAATATTTAGAACAAGTGTGGAAATTATCCAACGATCGACTCCAGCAACTCGACAGTGAGAACCGGCGCCTGAAAAAGCAAATACTTGTGAATAAAAACAATAATAACAATACAAATAATGTTAGCATTAATAGTGACGGAAAGGAAAATTTAGTTACAAATGGTATCAATAATTATAATAATAATCAAACAAATGGTTGTTCACCGGCGATGGTATTCAAGCAAAATGTGGACAATCTGTGCGATAGTCTTAAGCTGAAGTCCAATTCGCAGTTAAATATACAGAAGTAAGTCATGTATGCGGGTGTTTACCCCTCCCCCTACCGGCTCCACAACCCCTCGAAGTGTATCTCTAAATAACTTATTAAACATTTTACCTTATGGTAAAAAATATTTAATTATATCAGTTATCAACGATTTTACATATGCCATGTGTTAGGCCTAGGGTTGGGACACAGGGGGTGAGGTTCCGGAGGGTTTGGATGAGATAGTAATCTAGTTATAAATAAAACATTTTAAAAATTTGTTATAATTTATGTGTTATTATAAGATTAAAGAAGTTATAGTTGTTTTCTCTCCAAAAATAATAGTTTTATAAATAGTAAAATTTTTATTTAATTAATATTTAATGTTTTAATGATTATTTATATTTTTTAGTGTAAACGGCGATAATAATAACGATAAAGTTAATAATAATAATAAAATTAGTGATAAAAACGATGTCAATCGCCATAGTCTTAATAGGAGGCGGAATACCGTTCAATATACAAGTGATACTCAATTAGTTAATAATAATAATTGTGTTAATAATAGTGATAATAGTGTTCATAATAGCCATACGAATGGCGGTATGAATAGTGAACAGTGGTATGCATTGCAAGAGATGTGCCAACAATTCAAGCGTATTATTAATCAATTGGAGGATAAAATCATTAGTTTGGAGAAAGTGATTAAAACCATCGAGATTGACAACGAGACACTTGTCTACAAGGTAATTATTTTGGATATATTATGTTTTATATGACTAGGAGGAGGGGTTAAAGGGAGGGACCCGTTGTAGGGATCTATTAATGAGATTTTACTGATTATATCATTTATATTTATGTAATTTATTTGAAATTTTATATATTTAATAATTTTATAGTAAATTGATTTTGTGTTTGTTATTAAAAACTATTTTTACATTGTTTTGATAGTTATTTTGATTTTTTATGCTAATTCTAGGTATTAATAAATATAATTATGGGTATTATCGGTATATAATGTCGCCCATCAATGTAAAAATGTAGTACAGGTGTTTTAAGTTAGTATTTATGTAGATTAATATTTAGGGAGCATTTTATTCTCGGTGTTTTTATTTAATTTACACATTAATAGTCACTTAATTTAGGCCATAATGTGTACGAAATTATTTACAATTGATAATATTTGAATAAAATTATCATAATTTAAATGTTTTGTTATTAAATATGATTTTTATGTGTCTATCATATATTCCCGGAACAGTTCCCTGCCTATCAATCAATGTATTCATGTTTTTAATCCCTGTTTTTGCATACAATTCAATAGGAAAATGATTTTATTTATTGATTATAATCGCTATTATAATGTTTATTGATTAGTATTTAAATGCTTTTCATTTGTTTTGCATTTATTTGTATTTTTAATATGAATAGTATTTTATTTATTTAAGATTTAGTATAACAAAATGTTATTTATTTTTGAAAATGATTTTATTTTTATAATATTTAATTATAATTTATAATTCATATTGAAATGTAGTGTAATCTTACTGTATTAATTTTATAATTAGTTTATCAAGCATGTTTTGTTTATTTATTTAAATTATTTTAAAATAAAATATTTATCAAAAGGTGTTGTGAACTAAAAAATAATTTTTAAATTAACTTATTATAAGTTTTAAAATAGATATTTTTGATACATTAGATTAAATTATTTGATAAGAAAATCAATCAAGTTAACTTTTAATTTAATTGAAGCCTCATTTATAATACATTATAAAATAAGTTTAAAGTATTTTTAATTTCATTTTACTTTCAGTTATATAATATAAAACTCTTCCTATACTTTGAAAAATTACATTAAAAGTAGAAAAATATATACATTACAAAAATGAACAAAATTTAAATAAAAAGTAAAATTTTTGAATAAAAACCAGATTTTAATTTAAAAGCAAATTGTATTTTAAGAAAGCATTTAAAGAAAACTTGTTTTTGGTATCAAATGAGTAATAAAAACGAGCGAAACTCATATTCAATAGACATTCAAAAATGATTACAAAAAAATAATTGTATTTTTTGTTTGTTTTTATTTTAACAAAACATTTGACGTAAAACTCAATTCAAACAGACATTAATTTTTTTTATAGCAAGAAGTAAATTAACCTTTTTTATTAACAAATATACGGTTTAACAGCAAAAATATTTAATTAATTCTAGTTAGTTAACTAAATACCTAGTTGTTTTAATTAACCAACATTTAAACCGGTTATAATCTCTGCAAAAATCTCTATAATTTTTGAGAATTCAAAAGTAATTTACAAATAAAACTATTTTATAATACTATAAAAATTTAATTAAAAAACACTATTTTAAAATAAAAACAACTAAACATTATTAAAATAACTTTATTATGCGATAAACATAACAAACATTGAATAACTAATTAAAGTAAAATTATATGTTTTAATTTACCATAGTGATTTAATAAAGAACAGGTATATTAATCCCTATGAGCCCATTGCCAAAATTTTATTTCATGCTTGAATTAAATACTAATTAACTATTATTGACATTATTTTTTCTCTCGACCCCTAATACCCGCCCCCTATATATACGCAAACATAAAGCTATCGGAATCTCAATCACAATGCGATGAATTGGAAAAACAATTACTGAGAGTCAGTGACCAAAACGGCCGGCCATTGACCGACAGTCAGTCATCGGAAACGTCGGACAGTCCTGTCGTCGATTACCCCCAACAGCGACGGCGACCATCGGTGGGGCCGACGCCTAATGGGGGGTCCGATAGGGAGAGACGTCTGGAGCTGGAGTTGAGCCAAAGGGTTAAGGAGTTGTCGGAGTTGTCCGCGAAGTATAGTCGACGAAAGCAACGGCACCGGGAGATGGTATCCAGGCTTAGGTATGGCTATTATTGTGTTTGTTAATGTTTATTGGTATTAGTTGTTAGCAAGGTTAATTTTGAGCATTGTTGTATTTATTATGAGCTTTAATTTAAAATTACTAATTTTAATATTACTTTAATTTTTGCTGCATTTATAATTAGTGTGCATTATTTATAGGTATTGTGTGTTTAGTTTTTGTAATTTTATTTAAGATAATTAACTAATTATGTATTTTTGTCAAATCATTTGTACAGAGAGTATGTGTCGAAAGAGAACCGCGAATTGAATACATTATTGCATTCATTGGATGTAAAGTACAGGGCGTCCGAAGAAGAGCTACAGAAGCACCGAAAGTATTGTCGCATTCAAGAGATTACGGCTATTAATGATATCCAATGATTATGTGGTGTATTGTGATTACGATTATGAGATTAATTGTTTATTTATTTATTAATTATTAAAGAAGTTGTGAATAAAATGACTTTTAAAGTTTGAATTAATGTTTAAATAAATTATTTATTTTAGCCAACAAACATTATAAACTTTATTATCTATAACACATAGTTTATTTATGATTATACATGTTAAAATTAAAATACTGTATATGCATCTAGCACTTCCATCTTTGCAGATTACTACTAGTTTGACAAGTAGGCCTACGCTATAGAATCGGCCCTGGTGACTAAGTTCCTATACACTTGGTAATTAAACCACCTTTGCCTCTGCGGCCACCACATGGTGGAGTTGAGTGTCGGTACCGGCGGTAGAGTCCGTTTGGTTCAGCATTGGGTGCGACTATTGGGACGGTGGACATAGCGGTGCTCACAGTGTTGTCCCCACAGGTTGTGATAGCGATGGCCACCGCTATAGAGCACAACCATATCGTGTTTGACATTGTGTTTATTGGGTTTGAGTTTGGTTATATGGGTTAATAAATTGTTAATAATAATAATGAATTAAAGAAGGATAGCCGCCCCTAATGCATAGCTGGCCCCGCTGGCCTGGTCACCATTTAACATAATATGAATTATTTGCAATGAGAGGTCCTTAGATAAAACAAAAGACAAATCACATCAACAAATAACTTTGTAATTGAGTCTCCGGTAAAGGAAACCAATTCTGAGGTTTAATTCATTCCACTTCTTAGGCCGACACCACTTCCAGTACTTATAGGCCTCTCTCTCTCTCTCTCTCTCGACTTAAAATAAAATATTAGTTGAAATTAAAATGTGTTATTTCTTTGAATTTATTGCCCGATTATATAGTTTACTTAACAGTAGACTTAATCTCGAGTAAGGATTAACTGAAAAATATTAAATGTACTTTTCATTGGCAGCTAATTGTTAGTCATATTAAACATAATAATTTCATTTAAAGACATTAAATGGTTATCAATTAACAAAATGTATAAATTGAGACCCAATTTGAGAGTAAAAAGTGTCAAAAGAAGGATAGCCGCCCCTAATGCATAGCTGGCCCCGCTGGCCTGGTCACCATTTAACATAATATGAATTATTTGCAATGAGAGGTCCTTAGATAACACAAAAGACAAATCACATCAACAAATAACGTTTATAGCATATAGCTGGCCCCGCTGGCCTGGTCACCATTTAACATAATATGAATTATTTGCAATGAGAGGTCCTTAGATAAAACAAAAGACAAATCACATCAACAAATAACGTTTATAGCATAAATAACGTACAAAAATGTAATGCATTTTTAATCTTTTAAATAACTTTTTTATCTGATATCCGAATTACAAAATTCCTTCAGATCCCTACTCCTCTCATCAAGACCTTTCCGTTGATATATAATATGACCCATATATCACTCAAATAAGTTTTTAATTAGAGTAAATTTTCCCGATAAAAGTGGTCACTACTCCCGAACCCAATGTCTTAGGTACATATGGACAACATTTTTAAAGACTTCTAACAATGGTCTATCGTTCCCATATTAAATGGTGACCAGGCGAGCGGGGCCAGCGTTAGCATTATGAGTGGCTATCCTTCTTTTGATTGGCTATCTTCGTTTATAAATATAAACATATAATTTTGAGTAATAAATAGGCTGGCCAACTGTCCACTATTTGAGTGGACATTCCACTATTTTGGGGTTATGTCCACTAGGAACTGAAGACCCAATAGTGGACATTGTAATGTCCACTATTTTATTTCCAGGAAAATTAACATAATTTCGCTAAAATTATAAGAAAATCTTCGGTAATATTGTTTATAAAATTAATAATTCATAATCTACTATTAATAATCAGTTCTTGCGTGTATTTATTAATTGGAAATTATAATTATTTATTATTATCTATAATAATTATTAAATATGAAGTAGTTATTTGTTTATAAATAGTAGATATGAGAATAATGGATAAGTATAATAAATCAGTTAAGTTTACAATAATTTATTATTTCAGTATATTGAAATATTTAGGTTTATAAAAAGCCGTTGATGTTATATAAGTGTCCATTATTTTTAACTCTATGATATTAACTTAATTATAAATCTATATAACATAACTTAATAATATTAGTGAGTTTCACCATAATTATTTTACAAGTCACTTTAATAGATCTGAGGTTAAAAGAAATTACAATAAAACTTTGATAATCTAGACATTGCGACAAGTAAACTGCACTTATAACTTACAATTTAATTAAATAATACAACTAATTATAAATAAGGGATGTAATTTTGCGGAAAAATAGATAAAATTGATATAAAACATCGCGAAAAAAGTATGTCCACTATTTGTCCACTATTTTTGACCAATTTTAGAGCAAAGGTCCACTATTAAAGATTTATGAGTTGGCCAGCCTAGTAATAAATGGCACAATTATTTAATTAGCATTATATTGATGCACAAACAAAACATTACAACAACTTAATATCTGTCAATATAAATTAAAATCTAATGACCATCTGTGATTAATAAAATAAAAATACTTTATTATATGAACCATTTTGTATCGCTCTTAATAATAGGTATACAATTTTTTAATAAATAACAATAAAATTTACAATAATCTACCTGTAATCACGTGTTATCAAGATTACATACAAACCGACATTGTACCATGGCGTGCATTAATATGGCGTTCATCGCGATACTAGTAAGCAGTGTTATTATTATACACATTGTACAAGAAAGCGCGTCAGAGTTGGATACTGTATCGGGTGGTGGTGTCGGGTGGCGAGCACTAGCGCGGCATAAACGCAAATCAAGCTCACCGCAAAAAATAGCATGCAGAGGTTACATGCCAAAATTGAGTTTTCATAAGATAGGACAGTGCATTCGCGCCAAATGCGCAAAGTCCGAGATCGGTTACTGGCCAATAGACATAAAAGACAAAGCTGACAAGGATAAGAAAGCGAAATGCGTTACACCTACAAAGTGGGCAGATATGGCAAGTAAACCGAGACAGGTCGATGTGAATTTGGAAGGCAATTTGAAGCGGTCATGGTCATGGACTATAAAGAAAATAGAAAAAACACATAAAAACGTTGGCGAATAGGTGCCATAATAAATGCGATGAAGTGTGTTATGCTAAAACAATAAAAGATGGTGAGGGGGCGACACTACAGATCCAGTTTGCGCCAAACGCTCAGATTTTGAAGTTTTTAAATTTCCAGATGAGTCGTGTTCTAAAGATGATAAATAATCATTGATTAGGCCCATAGGCGCTATTATTGTTTTGTAATTTGTCGCTTGGTGGTTTCTCCACTCAGTATATTATTAATTACAATGTTTGTTTTTAAATAAAATTATTATCAATTTAATATTTGTCAACTTATTTTAATTGGTATATAATATAATGACCAGAACTGTGTTATAACTTATAACTGATTAAAGTGGTTTTAATTCACCAGCAACTTTTAATTAGTAAAGCTGCAAACTGTAAAGACTACAAATGGTTGATAATTATATTTTAATTTCATTAGTAAAGCAATATATACAAGAATTCTAAAGCAATTGGATTTATCTAGAATTAAATAACACAAGAATTTAATTTAGTTGTTAGCGGCTATTGATTGAAATATAAAACTAACTCACATTTGTTAATATTGGGGAACTTTATCGCCTCTCAATCCTATATAAATACATATATTTAATTCTATAAATTTCTTAGTACATCTTAGATATGAAAATTTTTTAAAATTACTTTACTGATAAGTTCATAACAAAATAGTCAATATTAGAGTATTATGCATGCAATCCCGCCCATTGAAACTTATGCAACCCATAGAAATTCTTGTAAAAGAAGACCGAGTGCTAACCCCCCGTGAATTTTCCTCTCCCTATTCGCGCACTGTTTGCAACATTCCAGAGCAGGAAGACTGGGTATAAAACCAGAGGCCAGTCCTTAGCACTGGCAATGAGATGTAACAGCTCTACCATCAAAGTTACACAACTTTTTGTATTCACTTTTTTGTATACTTTTTGTGCTTATATGACTCATTAAATACTTTACTCTTAATATTTGTGTCTAATAATTAATATCGAGAGCCGGGAGGGCACAGACCATCGACGGGGACCGACGGGGACGTCAACAACGAGGCGGGAGGACAGATATTCCCGCGGGACAGATCTAGTAAGTACTCACGGTGGGCCCTCCCGGGAGGTAAGTCTATATTCCGGTTATTAAAGCCATATTATCTGAACCTAACCCCCATTATATTGTAATATTAACTTAAACAATTTAAATTAACATAATCTAAAATTTTATGATAGATTTACAGCAAAATTCATGATTGTTTTGATGTAATGTGGTCACCTTATTGTTACCATGCTATCATAATTTTAGTCAATCTAAACATTTCTAATTCTCTAATTATATTCTCCGGGTTTTGCATTTAATATATTCATCCAATTCATTAAATCAATTTTTTTTTGCTTAAACACTAATATTCTTGTCTGTAGTCATGTGTATCGGTTCAGTGCCTAAAGTATTGTCCGCCTCGATTGTCTGGCAATCGATTATCGCTCGCGTGTTGTCAACGATAACAAGGATTACATACAGAAAGTGTGGTTCAATGACGACCGACCAGAGGATTGGTATTCAGAGGAGAGATTTGTTTGGGACTCAATTCAACCGATGTATGTCTATAAAGATGAGCCCATTATGTCATTCCCGGCGTACATGTCATACATCNTCTATAAAGATGAGCCCATTATGTCATTCCCGGCGTACATGTCATACATCGGCGGACTCTTTGGCCTCTGGTTTGGCACTAATGGCCAGCAATTGATTGTCGCCGTAATTGACAGCCGATTATGGCTTTGGTTAAGACAAACATTTGTCAATAGGTTTTCGCGTAATAACAGAATTCAAACCATATACATATGTATATTAATACTATTTCATAATTTATTAAATCAAATG